TTCCTAAATGTCCACTGAGCCTAACAAGCTCCAAGAACTTTGTGTACTTGTGGTGAGTCATTCTGGTCATCCTGGCCTTCATTTAAAATTCTCTTGACGGCAAGTTCCATCACCCCAGCTCTCAGCCAAATTTTCCCTTGATGGCATGTTTACGTCACCGGCATCACCAGGCCAAATTTTTTCATGACTTGGTCATGTCATTCAGTTAACTGAATAATGGTCCTAGATGATGTTAAAAAAATAGAATAAAATATAAGATGAAGGAAAAAAACAAATACAATAATACACCCTCTGTGCAATCAGTTTCATAATTCCAACTTGACAAAAGTAAAATAGGTAAAAAGTGAATCTAATTAACTTAACCATCACATTATTACATAAAGGGACAGCATAAATTCCCTTATACTTTCAAAGGTAACAATGATACAGTAATCACAACAGCAAAAATAACATAAACAGAAGAAAAATTAAAATGCAATCCAACCTTTAGAAAAACAATCATGACCAACTGCATGACTACCTGCGGGAAATTGGACAGGTCAGTCATGGAAAGGAACTGGTCATAATGCACTGGAGGAGGTGTCATGACAACACTGAAGGGCAGGAAACGGTGCTCATAGCGGACTTGTTTCATTGTCAAATTCCTGTATGGGTAACTTGACTTTCCCTGCTTCTCGTAGCCCTACCATGGCCTGAGGGATGACAACGAGATAGTGAGTGCATAGATTATATTAACAATAAAAATTAATAACAACAACTACAATAATAATAATAATAATAATAAAAACAACTAAAATTATATGGACAATGATGACAGTGATGCGGCTAATGATGCCATAATAATAAGCATCATTATAAAATATTGAGATGACTGATAATAACAATTACTGGAGATCACTTGTATCAAATGCACTTTAAAAAAGAACAGTTATATTATTCAGAAATACAAAGTTTGTTATTTTCATACATCTATATTTCATATATTATTCCTTGTAGCTCTATTTTGACATTCGCATTAATCATATATTTTATTAGCCACTCTTTCCACCTAGCAACTTCAAAGTTGAATTCCATTAATTACTACTAGTTTTTCTATCAATGACTTTTACTTTAACAAAAGTAAAAATTAACCTAAAGATTCTCTTCTCCTTGCACTCCCTTAACCTCTCATCACTTACCTTGTAGTATCCCCACAGAGATGCTGAAGTGCCTGGTAGTAGGTGATTTCCTTGGCCATAGGGTCGGTGCTTCTTCTTATTCCTGTTCTTGTTTCTTTGAAGAACGTCCACTCTTTTTTGTTGGTGTCATAGCCATCTTGCTCCAGCAGCATAGCGTCTGCACGGGAGAGGGCACTCACCAGCCACACATACACAAACTCATAAAGGTACCTGGGTGGAGAGGTATGAAAGATATTAAATTAGTTTGCTGGTCGATTGTTAGAACACAGTAGGCATTATGCACGTTTTTTTTTTAAATACTGATTCTTTACCATAACCTGATGGAGACTCATGTTGATACTATCCACTTCAAGAAATTAAGTGACAATTGAAAAGCCCTTTCCTGAATTTTAGAAAATAAAGTTAACTCAATGCCCCTCTGGGAGAAACCTGGGTGTAGTGTGTCCCTGCTCCAGAGAGTAATGAATGGACAACTGGACTTGCCTATAGGGCCTATTTCACACACATTCAGTGCATCACACTCACTGTGCTGCACCAACTGAGTGATAGGATTTTTTATATCACTTGCATATTGATGCATGATATTCATTTCAGTTGCTAGATTGAACTATTAGTAACCTGATTATGGATATTTCAATAAATTAGGTTTATTACATTCTACATAAAAGGAATGTGGTAGATGGATAAAAAACAATTTTCTCTCCATTATGCGGATCTCATTCTTACAAAATAAGAGATTCTATGCAGCTATATACAAGACTGCTACGTCCGCATCTTCAGTACTTCCCTTTTGTGTGTCATAATTCAAAACAGCCACACAAGCAGACCACCAGCCAACAAGGTTACTTGCAGGAGGTTCACAGCACCAGCAAAAGAGCTCAATGTTCTGGTGTGTGACATCTTCCAGGGATAATGATTTGTGCTAAATATCATCCCCTTCATACAAACAACAGCCAATTAGAGCATTACAAAACCTCTTCTCCCTCAGGTAATGCCCAGAGCTTGTGATATATGGGCATCAGGATAACCTTTTTAAATAACAGTATAAAATGCAATGCATGCATCACAGTAACAGGACATGAATGACCTGGCACCCAAAGCCAAAACCTAGTCAGCCATGACATAAACCCCACATCATCCTGAGACTTAAAGGGTTAATGGAATGTAGTTAATCTTAACAGGGATAGATTCTTACCCCCTTCACATTTTACAACTTATATGTTGTATTTCAATATCACTGTAATTGCCTTCCCATGCCCACTATAAAACAAAAGATTGCAAGTAGATAGCAAGAAATGCAAAAGAATCGATATCAAATTCATGAAAACTTCACAAATATTCTTCAGCCTACTAACACTTTTTTCATTCAAGCAAAAAACAAGCACACTCCAGTTTCAGTTTATTTCCACCAATTGCAAGATTCCCCCTTGATGTGCTTACTCACCAGTAGACGTAATGATATTCATGCACGGCATACAGTTCTAGTGTGAATCCAGTCAGCAGGTACTTTATCATGAGTCGCAGTGTGTGGTAAAGGACCCAGGTGCCAAGGTAGGCCCAGGTGAGGGCGTGGCTGGTCACTCTTCAGGAGAACATTGTGAAGATATGCATCCACTTTGTCTGCCTGAATTGGAAATAAAATTCTAGTCAGATGTGAATGTGATCAAGACTTAATCTCTAAGGCTGCATTGTGGTAAATTTACATCTCATAAATAAACTACATCACATGAAGACACTTATCTTTTTACCCAAAAATTTTCTGGACTACAGTAAAATTCTGAAACTCACCTCATCTTGTAGCATTGCAAATTCCTCTAGTAAGTGTGCAACTTTGTCTCTCTGACGTGCTCGATTGTGCCCGCATGTCTGGAATAGTTTGCTCAAACGGTCTTACACAGCGGTTGAAAAAAGAGCTGACATATTCTTTTGCCTGAAAAAATGTAAAAATTTAAATTGATAAGTAAATTAAGAATCATTTAAATTATCTCATCTCATGAATCATTTGAAAGAAGAATTGCAGGCTGAAAGAAAAAAATAATTAAGCTTCTAATACATAAATTATCTATTATCAAAAAATATACAAACTACTCAAACCATAGATCTATATTTTAACATATATACAAAGACTAACTATAAAATTCATCATATGAACAGAATCCACCTGACAAGCAAGAACACCTGTACATTGTTCATCACAGGCGCCTTTGGTAGTAATGCAGGGGGCATATAAACCCTCGGGCAGCTTCTCTAAGAGCTTCTGCCATGGTCTGCCCTCCCACAGCTTGTCCCCACCCCAAGGTAGAGGACCTGAGCCAATGATCTCGACAAGACACAGGGTCGTGTCTCAGAGAAGTTCTCAATGAATTCCTAAAAAGCAAGGAAAGGCCATATTGAAATCTTAGTTATAAGTGCCTATGATTCTCCATTCTGATTCTGAATATGTTAAATTTACTGAAATGCAAATCAATTATAAAAATCAAACATGCATTTTTAAACCTAAAATACAGCCAAGAAATGAAGCCTACCAGAGCAGAATGAAAACCTGTGCAGTGAGTGATCTTAGTTGATATCGAAGGCGTCCCACTCAAGGTAATCATTGCTTCCTTCCGTGTTCGTAATCTTGTGTAGCGTGGGAAAGTAGAGGAGGAGAGCGCTGATTGACAAGAGGCTCAAAACCCATGATGACTGGATAATCCACTGAAGGATGAAAAGAAGGAAAAATTTCAATTTTCTTCAATACTAGCAGAGCTAGGAATCTTGTATTAACAAAATGTTTCTGCACCTCAAACCCTCCACTGAAGGTGATGTATAACATAGTCTATAGCGTCTGGTATTAAGAGATATTTTATCATGTATCATTCATTACTGTGATGCAAATGTGCTCTAAGACAAAGGGTATTGTAGCTGTGGAAAGAAAAATATTAAACACTTCAGACCCTATGAGGTCACCTAGTATGGAGGTTAATTTCCTCAAATAACTGTGTATTTTTTGCGAGCTCCTTGAAACTCTCTATTCTCATTCTCTCATAATGTATAATATCATTCAGAAAATCCATACTTTTCAATTCAGTTCTGTATAGCTACAATAGTAGCATACTGTTAACAAAAGTTTCACTTGTTTTGATTCTTAATTAACTATGTATAAAAAAAAAAACTTCCCTTGAGGTTCTCACCAAAGATAAAATAAAAGACCGAGTCACCTTAAAACCTCCAGCAATCGATCTTGAGACTCTCAAAATAATATAGGTCAAAGAATAGATTGAAACAAATTCCCCAAAACAACAAAAAAGAATACTACAAAACACGCACTTAAGTACCTCGGGCCTTACCCTTATTCCCCTCTTCGTCTTTATGATGTTTGGGTTTCAGACCACGTCCGATTGTGTTCTGCATTATGCAAACCAGTTCTGTGCATGATGCCAGGTATCGTTCTGATTCTGATATAGAGGTTTGTTCTCTTCGCATGAGAGCTGCTAGAGCTGCGTAGAACAGTCTCATGAACCTGATCCTTGAGAAGAGAGCAACTGCATCCTCGTGCTGTAAAGTTAAACAACTGGAGTAAGGTGGTTAATCTTTTTCTTAAGGCAGAGACTTGAGAATAGGTATGGATATAGTAAGAGTGGAATTATGGATAGGAAAAATCTTCTTGCTATATCCCTCACCATTTCTAAATGATATTCTACAAAAGTTAGCAGCTATTTTCCTTCAGTAAAAATATGTACAATAAAAGTAAAACAAACAATAATTATTTCCAATTCTTGATTTCAAAGTTTCTGATTCTAAAGGGGTAAAAATCCTCTCTTTACCATCATTTAATAAAAT